CTTGTCTTGTTTTGTGTTTTGCTGGTACATTACTTAATATAGGCTGCATTTTCATTAAGCAAATATGTCTTTTTTTAGGCTACAGGATCCAGCCTGGTCACTGACATAGGTCAGCTGTGCTTCCAACCCTTCCCTGCCCTGATTTAAGCTTGAGCTACCTGGCAATCTTGTACTCAGTTCAGTGGAGCTTCTATGCACAACCACAGCTAACTAGAGCAGGGGCTGTGGCTTTATCCTAAGGGTTAAAATCAGAGTGCACTGCCTGCAGTGGAGTTGGATTGCAGAGGTGTTGAGCACAGACTGATGCAGTATCAGTTTCCCAGCCAGGGCTCATAGCTTCGAAAAGAGCAGCCAACAGCTCTGTGCTGCAGTTTATCTGAAGACCTTTAACAAGTTGGCAGCTGCCCTTGTTTCCAGTGACACTGCTCAAATCTCCGACCTTCAAGGGGCTTGTCATTTCAGGCCCTCAGTATCTGAAGATGGTTAGAACACCAAAGCACTACACACACTCCAGTTGCTTTATTTGGCTTCAAGAACAACCTCAGAAAGCCTAGAGGAGAGAAGACTGAGGGGAGACATCGCAATCTACAGCCTCCTTGTGAGGGGAAGAAGAAGGGCAGGCACTGATCTCTTCTCTGTAGGGACCAGTGACAGAAATCAAGGGAGTGGCCTGAAATTGTATCGGGGAGGGGTTAGGTTGAATAATAGAAAAAGGTTCTTCACCCAAAAGGTGGTTGGGCACTAGAACAGGCTCCCCAGGGAAGTGGGCACAGCACCAACCTGCCAGAAGCATTTTGACAATGCACTCAGGCACATGGTGGGATTGTTGGGTCTGTCCTGTGCAGGGCCATGAGTTGGACTTTGACGATCTTTGCGAGTCCCTTCCAGTTCAGAATATTCTGTGGTTCTGTGATTAACAATATGGCTGAGAATGCTACGCAGGTTATCAATAAACATAGCGTATTACACCATTTGCACTGTCACACCTCTAAACATTCAAGGCATTTCATATTCATTTATGAAGTTTTATCATTAAGAGGAATATTTTGAGAAGCTATCCCCTTTGCTATAAGAAGAGATCACAACAGAGATAAAGTAACCTGTTCTTACTGTCATGTCTCATCAGTAAGGAACTGCCAGCATCTCCTGAAGAGAAAACCCTCTGGATTAGCAAATCATTAATTCTTCCACATTAAATATACTCAGTGCTATCATGACTACAGCATGTGGAGATGCATGTAACAGGTATGAACTTCAAACTCAGATTTTGATCTTCCTGGGCAATATCCTATGGGCAAGATCCATAATACCTGCAGTCTGAATTAGGGGCTCAATTCCATATTGTCCTCAGGTAAAGGTGAAGGTTAATATAAACACACAACTGTGCACTGAAACATATGAAAATTGGGAGCAAATATCTCATGTTTATATTTCTTGCCCATAGCCCTTTTTGGATGAATAATGAAAATATTAATGTCAAAAAGAAAGATGTGCAGATACAGACAGTAAATACTCAACAGGACAAGGTGATCAAGACTCAGGACCACATTATCCCTCTTATCCCATTTCCATTCATCTTACGTATGCCTGCCCTGCATCCATCCTGTTCCACCACCATTAGCACAAAATTACAGCCCTCACATTCCCTAATTGTTCTCCACTCACCAACATTCTTAATTTCAAAATCTGGGCTCTTCCCTCTACTCATTATGTTCTTTTTCTTTACTAATATACAAACGTGATAGCATTAGGCAGTAGCGTGAGGATTTCTGAAGTTAGACTGTACAGAGCTCACCCCTTATCAAGGTTATTTCAAAGAAAAAGGGGTGATAAGCCTGTCTTATTCCATATGAATCCCTTCTGCTTTAATAAAGTTTTCCTTGAGGCATAGTTGAGTTGATTGTACAGCAATTAAAGAGAAACTGAAAGCTTTCAGTGTTACAGGCTGCCCTTCATTTATTATAAATACTACTGAACCACTGGCTCCTTAGGATAGGAATGAACCAAAGCTGAAGTCTAAGGTTGTTAACAAATACCCACCCTTCCCCAGAGGAGCAACTGTAAAGCTGTGAACAAAACTTTCCAGGCATTCCAGCAGACACACAAAGATACATAGCAAGGCAGAGATGACTCTGCAGATAAAACCTAAACCAACAAATTCAATAGCTGCTTCGCTGTCAAATGTGACTCTAAGGAGTCAATCTTACGGGACAATTCCCTTGCAGCTTTAGCCTCTCTTATGATTAATATCAGTTTAATGTCTCTTACATCCAAACTGGAAATCAAACCTGCCAGTACAATACAATGGCTTTATTTTTGAAATGTTTTCCTCCACTTTGAAGCTTTGTGTCTCTTTGCTTGTAAATATAGTTAACGTGGACAATCAGGGCATAAGGCAATGCATCTTTCAGACCTTTTTTGAACATTGAAGGCTGTATCAATAACCAGATATCCACGCAGATCCTTTCATCTTTATATTCAGAGAAAACACATCCATATACATGCATGTGCTAACTATTGTAATAGACCTGGATTACAAGTAGGTTTCCATAGCATAGTTTTTTGTGTGGATAAGCCAGGAAACAGAGAGCATCAGGGACACCTTCCTATCACACAGTGCTCTGCAACTGAGCAGACAGTAAGACAGGACTGCTGGTAAGCAGTTACCTAACTCTGAGTCTTAGACAAATCCCTTTTTAGTCCACATAGCAACAACAGCTCATAACAGGGTAAAAAACCAACCAAACAAAACAAACAAAATCCACCAAACCAAAAAACCCCAACCAAACAAACCCCCCCCCCCACCTCTAAGGTGCAAAATAAAGAAATAACCTAGAAAGCACCATAAACAATTAAAAAAACCCACAAGCAATAGTATGCTCTTCATGTTGAAAAAGTACTTCAGAACTATTTATTCTACCGATACCCCAAAGAGTAAGAAAGAAAGCATGTACTGCACCTCTGAGCTCTGCTAGCCCAGGGAAGTCTATGATGCCTCATTTTCAGCCCCACATAACTAGATTAAGCTTTTCCACAGAAAAACATCCACTGGAAACACCATAGCACAAGGAGTGCAGTAGGCGTGTAGATGCTCGGTGTATTCCCAGTTTCCCTGGGCTGATCAGTGCTTCTGCAGCCTGTCTTCTCCAAACACACAATGAATCTTGTTGTGACCTTTTCAGAGGCTGTTTACACACCAGTAAAAATAGAAAGGTACTCATCAAATAAACTTAGAACACTTAAAACCTTGTAAATAAACTCTTCGTAATTTTAAGAATCCTTTTATACGTTTAATTTAGACTCTTTGCAGGAAAAAGGAGACTAGGACTTGTGTGAGTTTCTCTGTTCTTGGGACAATGCTTACCGGGAGCTTGATACACTCCAGAAGTACAAAGCAGCAGCACTGGGGCTGACTACTTCCCACCCACTCATTTGGGGATGACAAGCCAATCCTGCAAAAAGTTAAGCAGAAAACTAGCACAGGGGGCAATATATCCAATTATCTCAAGCTTCTTATCTCGGCTTTTGTTTTCCTCCTAAATTTGCATAAAACTGAGCCAAGATCCAACCTATATCTAAATTTAGTTTTGTAAGCCAAGCACTTACCAGGACTCTGAAGCACCATCAGGAGGATCATGCATCGTTCACATTTGTTTGAACACTAAGAAATTCTTCTGGTATGCCAGAGCAATGACTTTAAGGAGAGCCAAAAATGCTCCTATTCAAACAGTGGGTGTGCAGGTAGGTGGAAAGTTTCACTGCCTTTACTACGATATTTTAAAAAGATCTGAGAGAATACTGGGGCAGGGAGCTGCTCCCTAATTTTGTCTTCAAGGAAATCCCAAAAGAACACATTCACTCTGCTGGCAAACCCATAAGCTCATGGACTATTCTTTCCTGCAACATGCTACTCTGCCTGGGCTTTTCTAGTCCAGGACCAGATCCATAGCTAAGCAAACACATGCAGCCACATGAAATAGATATTTTCCTCCAGAAAACTTAATTAACACACACATGTGCATTTTCTTCTGTAACATCAAAAACTGGCAACAATGCAGACTTTGCTGTCAAAATGTTACAGTTTGTACTGGTCTGTAAAGTGTTTTTCCCTAAGGTAGAGCAAATTAAAAGGTAAGTTTAAAAGATTCAAATGATTATGAAATGGAACTGCTAAATAATTTCTTGAAAGGCAGCATTGTCAATGATCATGCAGTCCACCAAGAGCTGAAGCTGAACCAGAAGTGCTTGTTCCAGCTATGCAGGAATTCATTATGCTGGCAAGCACTGGTCCGTGGTAATAAATTATCCCATAGCTCTGGGCTGAATGGCACCCAGGCTGGAGTATAAATAGATCTGAGAAACCCTTCTCACCTGTTATTGGCCTCACAGTCAACTCATCCTTCTGCAAACAAGTTACAAACAACATCACTTGACTGCTATCCTGGATAAATATACATATATATGTGTTTTCCAAAGCAGTGCATCTTTTCCCAGTGAAATATGTGTCCTCTTCTTACATATAAAATTGTGATTGAGGACAGCTATGAGCCAGAGATGTCTCAGATTGCAAATGGGCAAAGTTTTGGGATTTGGGCCAAGTTTTCTTTGTTTCTTTGCTCAGGTCTATTGTGAGCACAGAATACATCTCGTTAGAAAACTTTAGACTGTACAGAGTCTTTTGGGTACATTGTCCCCCAAACATGTAAATAAGTGGCACCACTGAAATGCCAAATAACAAACAGCAGCACAAATGACACAAAGAAGACATGTCAAAAGAAGAAGAGGAGAGGCTCAATGAGGAGAGGACATGGTGAGACACTAGCACGTACAGTGAGATGCATTTCGATAACCTCACCACATATCCTCTAGGTTACCAGGTCCTGCTGTCTCAATCTCTTCTTTTTTTTTTTTTTTAATTATTTTATTATTTTGCTAAATTTAAAAATATAATAAAAATGAAATATATACAATCAAAAATATATAATCAAAATAAAAAAATATACAACCAAAACACATTTATTCCAAACTACATCTAAATATCAAAATACTATGTACATCTGTAGCTATAAAGCCTATAGGATAAGTCCCTTGTTCTTCAGACGTGCAGAATAAAACTAATGCCGCCGTCAGGTCCACCTTTGCCTCCACCTGTCCAACTCAGCACTTCGCCAGCTTCCGGGAGCGTACCCAGCCTTCACCTGACATTCCAGCCCAAAATGTTGGAGAGGTTTTTCACCACGTTCTGAGGCTGGCTGGCAGCGTGCTGCCTCAGCTTGGAGCCCATCGCTTCATGCAGGGCCTTTGCAAGTTTGGCGACCACAGTCCTGACGTTGGCGCTTCGGACGGGCGGGACCTTGTTTCCCAGGAAGGACCAGAGCACGGGCAGCGCGTAGCGCTGCACAACTTCAGGGCTCCTGGGATAAACACGTGCCACGAGCACTGCAGGGCAAGAGAGACAAGCTTCTTAACAACCAACCTTCATGCAGACAGGTACCTACCAGCATTTTTGATTCTTGGGAGCCTTTTCTGACTAATATCAGCAAGTACCTAGAGCCCGATGACCCAGAAATGGGCAAAGCAGCTGATCATCCACTGAACAGAACAACCAACCCCCCAGGACTAATTTCTCTAAATCAGAGGCCTTGTATCTGTGACAGACTTAGCAAAGTGAATCATATACATTTGTTAAATCATTTCAGTGTCTGTTTCTGCATGACAAATGACCAAAATGTCAAATTGCTGTTTATTTCCATTAAGAAGTTGTCTAAATCCACTGTTGAAGATTTTGAAACGCACCTCAGAGAGGTAATTGAAAGATTTCTAATAAAAGGGATGATTACTTTTTTGTGACCTTTGATGTAAAATGCCAAAAGTCTAATCTGGCGGTTCCCTTTGCTCAGTGGCACACAGCAAAGGGCAGTATTAGACCACACTTCAGAACTCCAGCCCATAAAAGATGGCTGCTGCTTGACAGTTTTATTAGAAACATCAGTGACTAACTGATGTCTTTGGCAGAATGGTCAAATCTGAGCTTTTCTTTCCCTCATATTCTGTGGCTTCTAATGAACAGCTGTTTCAAACTTCAGGGTGTCTTAGATAATTGCCTAGACCCCATTGCCATGGCATTTGAGCATCTCACAATTTTAATGGCATTTACCCTCACAATGTTAATGGCATTTACTCTCCCAATGTGCACTGAAATAGCGGAATAGAGAAAGGAAAATGTTACAAGGGGGGGGCTGAAATTTAACCAAAAAACAAGCGTTCTCTCACACTCTCTCTGAAGTCTGCTCTCTGCTCATTTTCTGAACTGAACTATATTAAATATGAACAAAAATTTACTACCAATAGGCTCCTTGCATTTGGATTTTGCTGAGAGATCAAAATCTGAAATGGTCTGAAGACCATTCTTATTTTCTGTTCAGTTGAAATGTTATGCAGTAACCATTTATTATTCTGTGGTGGAAGAACCTTCATTTTCTCTACGCTGTTAATCTGGCAGCAGTCATTCCATTTCTGGTAAGCAGGAAAAGGGTTATGGTACCCAGTTTAAAATGGGAGTTAATTTGAGTTTAAATGCAATTAAAGACATCGGTCACTATGAGACCTCAGAAGAGAAGGAGCTGTTTGTTCCAACTAAATCCCAGAGAGAACATCTGCTCTTTCTAAAGTAGTCCTAATTTATGCTCAAATACTTCATTTGAAAAAGAGATTTAAATAACTGCAAAACTAAATTCTCCATTTCTGGAGATTTACTTTATTCAAATTATCTTTAAAGGTCCTTTTACATTTGCTATGGCTGAACATGCCCTTTTGAGATTCCTAATGAAGAAGCAAAGTGTATTAAACCTTGCATTAAAAGATGCTGGCATAATTAGCAGTGGATTTAGCCATAATTAAAGCAAAGCTATAAATAATCTTCTCTAGTATATATTGAGATTATCGTTTTTCCATTCCTTGGCTGTTGCTGACATAGCAAGCTACAAATATAAATCAATTATCAGCTGCATTTGTAGCATGTCGGACAGTGCTGATATAGAAACAGGCTTCTTGCACATCCTGAAATGCTCAGAGTCCAATGCCATTTTTGCAATACAGGCAGAGAGGCTCAGCACTCTGCTTCTACCCCCAAATCCTACCTTGCACAAAATCCTTGCCTTGTAATATGTGTGTTGAGTTTTAAGCTACCAAGCACTGCAGGGTTCAGCCTCAAAAGTTTCCAAGAGGAAAACAAGAATTCTGTGGGGACAAAACAAACTGATCCCCAGAAACACCATGTGCCACCGTTTTTCCTAAAGGATGGTTATTTGGTTTAGAAAAGGTTGCTCTCACAGACCTCCCTGACCTTTACTGTACTGTCCTTGCAAGGGAGGAGCCATCTAGGGTATTTTTAGCCCCTTTCTTTCCTGAAGGAGGGTCCTGAGATGCCCCAGTGAGGGCTCAGCCCTGAGCCTGAGCACTGCTCTCATCTCACACGCAGCCTCTGCAGCAGCCAGGCAAAAACCTGGAGGGACAAGCTCAGATTTTGATGAGCTACTGTACTGTCTATTCACAGGCAATCTCTCTGAATATTTCCTCTGGAGATTTGGCTTAGAAGTGGATATTAGCTGAAGCAGGCGATACCTGAGAGACGTTCGGTGACATCCAGCAGAGCTTGGCCACTCAGTTGACTCATTCGGTTGCTAAACTCTTTCAGCACTGATACTTTATCTGAAAGAGAAACATTTATTTCTGCTCATTCTTTTGAGGACACGTGAGAAAGGAGGGTGGGGAGGGAAAGGGCAGAGACAACTGAATTTTGTAAAATAAAGTAAATTTCTGCCAGTTTCCGAGTCCTTTTCTTCTTTCCTTCTTACTTGGGAGGATTATAAATTCAAAAAGGAAAGCTTTCATTTCACATTTGTAAATCCAAAGTGGTCTGCTGTACCAGGAGCAGTGTTAAATGTTTCATATCAGGGACCTCAAAATTCAAATCACATGTAAGTAGTGACAAGGTTTTGCATGCCAGAGCTTTGCAGAAGTGATCTCCTCCCTTCCCTAAGGAAAAGGGTGAGATGGCTCAAAAGTTCGCACATCCATTCCCACTTTAAGACAAGCTGTTTTTAAATCTTCAAGTTACAACTTGGACAAGACTCCAAGTTAATTTTACAAGAGAACTTACTGCTCATTGCCATCCACTACTGGGGGCTCCTGTACATCTGTGAAATCAGATCTTGGTAGAGAGATTGGAAAACGAACTGACTTCCTGGTACTTGACTGTCATATGTATTTTGTTTTTCCTATGCTGTCTGTTGTTGATATGACGGTCTTGTTTGAATTTATAAACTGTTGCCTGGTTTGGTCTGCAAGCCTGCCGTCCTTCCACTCCAATAAGCCAAGCAAAGCTTTTCTTGGAGACAGAATGTGCGTGGGATGCACTGCGATACCTCATGTCACTGTGTCGATGCCGTGTCACCAGGAGTGATAACGCAGGCAACCTACTTCTTTGTGAACCACAAAAGAGGTAAATCCCAAAGTGGTTTTCAGTAGCAGTGTATTATTAAGAGCTCCTCTTTTGCATGAGATACAAAAAGGAAGTCCCTAATGATCTTCTTGCAAGCATGAAGTAAAGAACTAATCCTGCTACCCTAATTAAGCTTCTGCTTTGATAATTACAGTCTTCTCATTCACCTTTTTAAACAGACACTTCACTTTTTGTCTCACACTCTTGCAGTATTGGCAGACATTTGTTTCACCTTTGCTGTTCCTCCCCTGAGAGTTACCTTGCAGCTGCTGCTTGGGAAAAAAAAACTACCCTGAGATCTGGAGATCTTGAAGGAGTACAAACTGTTAATTAAGCGTTAATATTGGTATCTACATGGATTATCAGGGGAACACTCAGGGCTTGGGCGTGCCTGCTTGTTCTTAGGAATCCAAGTGTAGAGCTACTATTCACCTTCCATTTCAAGGTTTTCAAGTGTCCCATGCATTTTGAAACAATAAAGCTCAAGTCAATAACACAATTTACCCAACTGCTACTTTAGCAGCCTTGAGAGACCTGAAGACAGAGGAGTTTTAATGGCCGTTAGAGAAAACAAGGTGGCAGGCAGCTCAGTTCTTATGAACTCAGCTCTAACTCTCTGCTCTGCATATTAGCTAAACCTGTCGGCTGCAGGACAGATGGCCCAGCATTTGCAATAGGAGTAAAAGAAGAATCTACTTCTCCGTGTCCTCATTTTCGCTGCAGACACCTCTCTGCTACCTCAACACCTACAGGGGAAATTTCCCTTCCCCTTTTGCAGAGGGCTGGTTGCTCTGGGAGCTGTGTGGGCTGCTGGACTGACTCCATGCCTTGCCATCAGGCAGTGGCCATCTGATAGGCATTTCTTTCAAGACAAAGGACAGGGCAGGACAGATGAGGAAGTCTCACCCAAAACTCAGCATCTGAGGCTCAGAGCCTCAGAGCAATAGCTGGGCTTTTAGTTGTGAAGCTCAGTGGAGCAATGGGGCAGGACCATGTGCTTTGCTCACTTACCCTAAGATAGGAGTGTTGCACAATCCTTTAGAGTTTGGGAGGTTTCTTGTCATTTGGCACTTGATTTTAATTTGTAAAGGCAGACAGTTTTAAAGTACATGGGGAGATTTCGCTCACACATTTTTTCAGTAGAGACTTCCTTCCCCCACTAAAGCCCTAGGCGATGAATTTTGAAATATTTGTGATTCAGTTCCTTGTTTGAATTTTTGCAAACTTCCATAAAAATGTGCAGAACTGAAAAAAAATACATTCCACCTTGTTTGCTTGAACCTATCCCTGGGTAAAGTCATTGTGATGAGAGACAGATGTGCCTTGCTCCTGTTCTGATATCTGCCACCATGGAAAATTTATAGTGATCTCAGTATTGGTGAGAGAGGAATGACAGAAAGCTCCATACAAAACCATGAAGGGATTTGTTTGCCACATCCTCTGTTAGCAGGATTCTGCAGCTTTTTCCAAGACTTCTCCCATGCACCACAAAAAAATGGATAAGGGCCAAGAGCAGTACAGGTCTCACACCCTTCTCCCCACTTCATGGACAGAAATAACCCTACGCTTGGGACACAGAAAGGCAGTGAGTCAGCAAATTCAATGAGTTTGCAAAGCAGCTGATGTGTAGAAAGTTGGTAACTCCACTTTAAGGCCTGCCTCTTCAACACTAAATTTTTCAGACATATTCACCCAGTGCTGCATTTTCACAGCTGACATAAATCTGTGTGGCAAAGGAATTTACAGCAGACCTTGGCTATGTAGTTATTTGCTATAGTGATCTTGCCCCATGCAGAACAATGTGTGGAACAAGCCATCATTTACAGCTGGATTTATACCTGTTTGTTCTAAAGAAATGAATTCAGCAAATCATAAATTCATTTTGAAAAAAGAAGAAAAAGAAGAAAGGTGAAAAATAGACAGGACCAGCTAATGCCTATAATGTAGAGCCTTCCAGGAGGCCGCTCTGCAGAAGCTCTGATGGGTCAGTGTACCTTCATGCCAACAGCAAAGCAATTCATTTAGGAAGTCAAACTGGGCTCAAGCAAGCTCCAAAAATCCCTTTGTCCCTGAATTCTAGCAAAGGTGTAGTCCAGGATTTATTGTTCAGCTCCTTCTGTACCAAAGCAGACAAGCAGCACAGAGCCAAAGGCTCCTGGGACTTTGGGGAAATGCTGATACACATTCAAGCCTATTTGGGGATTGGTGCATAAGGACTGCCCCACCACTGCTTTGGGTGGATACCAGCTGGATATTTCCACAGACAACAAGAGCTGTGTGCAGAGTCAGTGTTCATTTCAACCTGAGAGGGAGAAGCCACTGCTGAAGACAAAGTCAGAGGTCAGCCTTACCTAAGTGAGCAATGGATGCTTCCAGTGCTTTCACAGCTGCACCATAAATCCCCAAGTGCTTTGAGTTCAGATTGTTGGTGATTGCTTCCACCAGACGGATCAGCACTGGGTTTAAGGCATCTCTGAGCATGGCTATCATCAAAGCCAGCGCCTCCAGCGCCTGCTGCTTCACTTTCTTGTTGTAATCGCAAATCCTCAGGACAAAATAATCAAAAATCTGTAAAGAAAACAAAAGACATGAAAGCTGTACTAAAGTGTCTTTGTTTTAAGAAGGGGTGTAGAAACGAGTACTCAGCAATGTAAAAGATGAAAGTAATCCTTTCTGTCAGGTCAGTGCTTGCTGTTTTCCTGTGGGCTGCTCACTGGAATGGTTGAGCAACCTCATGCTGGTTGAAAGATTTTCATATGTTTTTAAGAGGTTTGGGTGGGGACAGAATAGTTCCTATGGTGGTGTTTCTCTTCACCTATAAATCATTAAATTAATCCCATTTGATTAATGAAAAACAACATCCCTGGTATAGAAGTATGAAACCATTTTTCCATACAGTTGCCTCAAGTACTGAGGGTAATTTTGATTTTGGCAAGACTGTGGCTGGCTGAGATACATGTTTTGTTTTATCTGTTTCAGAACCTGTGTCTGGAGAAGTGCAGGGCTCTGATCAACTCTTCAGGATCCAGACCATTTGTCTAACTAATAGGTAGACTTCTGAAGTTTAATGTGCTGTGCAGCTCTCCTTAGAGCAGGTTCAGTCCCTTGACAGCCACATTATCAGGCACCGTTTTCTGGAAAAGGGGAAAAAGCAGCTACTGGGAGGAGAAGGAAGAGAAGTTCTGTCTTTAGCTATTTTCCTCCTCTTTCCAAAGAGAAAGAATGCCCCCCAGGAAGGATGAGAACAGTCTTTCCCAAGACGAAAAGGGACAAGGACAGGAACAAGTAGGCAGAGCCGTGCCTGCACAAGACAAGACAGAGTTCACAGGAGCATCCTTTTTCAAAAAAATTTTTTTAAACCAACCCAACCTGACACTTCTCTTTACCATCCCACTCCATTTTTGTCTAGAGAGTAATTGCCATGTTTTCAGTGGCTGGATTTCCTTTACTGAACCCAACTGGGAGTAGGAGACAGCAGAAGCTACAGCAAAAGTACATTCTGTCATCATCTCAGGAACAGCACCAATAGGCACCTGTCAGAGAAATACATCTGGACTGAAATTACTTGTCCTGAAGCCTGGAGCTGAATTAAATTATTTTGGGTAAGAGGGACCAGCCTGTCCCAAACAACCAGGATGTAGCAGCAAGACACACTGAATTAACTTCAATGCTACAGGCTTGGGAAAGGAGCTAAAGCAAATTAGCAATGGAGATACCCCACATACCTGGACAATGTTATTGGAGATGAGCCTGGGGCTGCTTTTGCAGAGATCTAGGAGGAGTGCCACTCCCTCCATTCGTATCTGAAACTCTTTGGCTGTCAGGAGATCATAAAGCTTCTGGAGCAGCTCCGTTTCTTCCACAGTTGGAAGTAACATAAGATGGACTTTTGAACGGTGTAAGAAGGGTACATCAGAAGTAGACTCCAAACTGGAAAATAAAAACAAGACCTGTTGGTGATAACATCTTCAGTTAATTGTGAGAAAAACCTCTTGAGGAGGCTTCCTAATGATGTGATTTCAGCTAGATCCTGACCTGAAAAACAACTTGGATCTCATGACAATAATTATAGGAAACAATCTGCAAGTAACATCCTCGCTAGTGCTTACTCAGGAAAACCAAGGAGGAGATGCATCTCATTTATCTTCAGATGTCTACCCAAGTACACATCTAGCATTGCTTTGTGGGGAAAGATAGACACTACTTCAAAGTTTAAATGCTTCATCATATGGGAGGTGTCTGTATTATAATCAGGATAATAATTACTCTGGAGAAGTCTCTCTAGGGTATGGCAATCTGGAAAAATAACTCAGATGCATCTAAAGAGATGAATAGGGGTATATCTGAAGGATCCAGAAAATCAGTAACAGAGACAAAAACAGAAGCCAGGTATCCCATCACTATGCTCACATTATTGCTTTCCTAGAGACTGGATCTACAGCTTAACAAACCCACTGGGAACAATTCTCTTGGATCGACCTCTCTCTTCCATGGGAGGAATGACTAACTATGCTAGTGAGGCATGTGGTCATCTTTCTGCCACTGCTGAGCATAACATAAATAAATCCCCTCTGTTATCAGAGGAGAATGGGTACAAGTAGCTCTCCCACTGGCATGAGGAGACAGCAAGGACCAAATTCCTGTCTTGAATGCTGATTGTAGCACAGCGGAGGGGGAAGAAAAACCACATTCTCTTCAACAACCAAACAGCAGGAATGACATGAATATATAGAGAAAAACTCCATGTTGAGAAATCTGTCGACCAGAACTGCTCAGAAATTGAGTTGCTACTTACTACTCAAACTTGGTACTGTTTGAGAGTGAGAAACCCATGATTCCAGGCCAAACCACGTGCATGGGAAGTGCTATTTTTGGGAATGGCATCTGGGTTCTAGTCTGGGACTTCTCATCAAACCACCCATCTAAAAAAGACTCTACTCAGATAAAAAACCCCCGTGATTCAAATTACTTGTCCCAAGTTGGGCAGCAGAGACATGACCCTCTCACAGCCTCCACAACACTGCTCTCATCACCACTGCACTGGATCTTCTGAGCTGCAATCAGAGGATGTCTTTTTGTCTCTTTGAATTTTTGTGGAAAACCCCTCAAAAGAGTTGTGTTCAGCATAAGGCAGAAATAGACATTTTTTATCACAGAAGATTTGTAGGGAAAGGCAACAATCTCGGGCACAGAGCATCTCCACCAGAAAGATTTTCCTGAGGAAGAGACATGTAAAGCTTTTCATGTGCTTTGTCAGATCTATCAGAAGTGCTTAGTACCCTCCACAAGAAGGCATTCTAGCCTGGGGCATCAAGCCATTGTTCCTCCTCTTCCTGGGGTTCTCAACAGGTGGAGGCTCACCTTCATGGTCTTCAATCCCCTACAGAGACATATAAAAAACCATGAGTCTTTAGAAGATAAAATAAGAAATTACTTGTTTAAAACACAAGTTGTAACCAGGATCACTGCTACCAGGAAAGGCTTAGGAAAATATTTCCTAACTTACAGAAGGAGACAGGCTAGAGATTCAGTGATGCCAACTATTTGTTTTCAATAACCCAAGGCAGGTTATAGGTGCTACCATAATGAGCAGCAGTATAAAATCCTGAATTCATTAGTCTTGAGCATAAATGGGAATAATGCAAACTGGTAGGGAACAAGGGTTCTTAAAGGGAACAGCAGAAAACTTTGGACTCTCTGGAGGCTGGCCCCTTTGTGTTGGGAGTTGATTTGGTTCACACTCACTCTCCCTATTCCTGCACAAAGGGACATTCCTTTCCAGAATGTGAATGTAAGTGAAAAGGAACAAAAAAACCCCAAAACCAAACATGATTTTCCACTGGATGCTGCTGAATTCACCAAGCTTCTTCCAGCTCCCCAGGGCATGACAGCAGGGCAGTATTCCCAGAAGACAGACAATAATTGTAGTAATTATGATTGCCTTGTGCATCTTTTGTGTATTTGGAAATTTTCTTGGCACTACTACTTCCTTTGTCTTTTGCAAAGACTCTATTATCTTCAGAAGCACTATTCCCACTTAATTGCTTTACTGGGGGCAAGGGAGGGATAAGGGGGGTGTTATGCTGAAATGTAAACATATTTTCTCCTATTTCCCTTTCCTGTTTGTGGCTGATATTCAAAATATTCAAAGCCCCACTGTATTTCTAATAATATTAGTTCCTTTGTTGTCTGTAGATAAACAGGCTGAGGATCAACAGTTCATTCCCAGGAGCAAAATGATTCAGCAGAAGAGGAATGAGATAAACAAAGATTATCATCTGATCTCATATTAGCAATCTCAATACTTGCATGAAAGAGACATTTCTCCTGCCAGCACTTACTTTATTCTTAATTCTTGCCAGAATATCTTTCAAGTCACGTGTGGAAACAGATTGTTCCAAAAGCCTATTAAATTTTTGATGACTCATCAACATATGCAGCATCTTCCATCCATAATACCTAACACAGGAAAGAGGGAAATTCATAGAGACTATTACTGTCTTTTCTCTCTTGTGAATAAACAAAGGAGAAGTATTAACAGAATAAGTTGATACTTTAAACTCATCTGGTGCAATACTTCCATGAGAAGGCATTACCTATTCAGCAGAGATATTTACCTCCTCATGTCACTTCATGGTGCTGTCAGATGAACACAAGAGGCAAGAGGAGAACATGGGGCAACAGAAAAATACAATTTCACTCTGAAATTGTGGGTATGCTTTTGCAGGATTGAAGGATCCCAGGGGACAAGCAAAGCACATCTGCTTTGTGGTCAGAGCTTATTAGCAGTGTCTTGCTGCCATTGCACAATAATTTACCTTTCTTTAACTGGCAGACAAGCCAGGACAAATCACCTCATGCTTATATTGATTATTCTATACTTTATATATGCATATGGGCAGCTAGTTGCTCGTGTGTTCTTGGCATCTATTAATGGGATTTTAATCATCAAAGTAAGGGGCTTTTGGTGGTTTGGTTTGATTTTGCTACTAGGAAACTATAGCTCTCTTCAAGAAGAAATCTGGAGGTTGTTCAGCCACAGACAAAACCATTACACAAATCTGCAGAACATTTAAAAGACCAAATACATTGGCTAAAGATACCTGGAATTTTTCAAGGACAGTCTTAACTTTATGAAAAATAAATGCTTGGGATCCTTCAGTGTTGAACAGTGGCCAACATTTCAGCTTTGAATTACACACAAGACCAAACAAAATTCTTTGACTGATTAATCTGAGCTGTTTTGATCTCAATAAAGAATCATTCAAGTCACAGGAATTTGGCAGTGGTCCTTGCTGGGCAACCTTATGTTACCCAGTACAGTCATTTGCCCAGACAACCCAGAGAAGTGGTCACAGCAACAAGCCTGTCTGAGTTGAAGAAGCATTTGGACAATGCTCTCAGGCACATGGTGTGATTCTTGGGATGTCCTGTGCAGGGCCAGGAGCTGGACACAATGATCCTGATGGGTCCCTTCCAACTCAGCATATTCTATGATTCCATGAACTTATCCACACAGTAAAGTAACTTAATATTTACTTTACCTTCCACTCTTTTGTGGTTTTACCCTTTATAGCCAGACATCAAACAGTTTCCATATTTTAGGAGGTGAAATGAAGATCATTACCGTGTGTCCTTGTGACAGTCCTGAGCAAGCTTCACCGCCAGGCGCACCAGCCTCTCGGCCCTGACAGGTGTGGCTGCCAGTTTCTTGGCTCCAATCTTCTCCATCACTGTCAGCAGGTGTTTGGCTGCACACTTCCGCACCAGGACATGGCGATGCCTGGAAATGAGAGCAAACACGGGGGCAGAGGGAAAAGGAGGGCCAGAAACACATGCCTTGGTCATAGCAGGCTCCCTGTCATCCCTGGGAGAAGGAGGCCTGTGTTCTCACTGCAATTTTAGCCAGCTGTAGAAGATTCTGTCCTCAGACAAACACAAAGTTGGCATTGTACCAAAGGACAGCCTGCCTGGAAGAGGGAAGAATTCAGTCTCCCTGGACCCAATTTCTTTACCAACATTAACTCAGAGAAAGAGGGAAATGAAAGACAATTTACGCTGACCCATCAGAGGGGACCCACTACACAGACAGAGCTGCAGCAGGATTGAGGCTTATTCCACCATTTATCTCCAAATCTGCAAACCCTTGGAGTGGGGGGAAAAAACGCTGTAGGGCGTGAAGCTGCAGAATATCCAGCAACGCAGCCAGTTTGTTCTGTGAGGCTTGGCAAGAGATAAGTTTGAAAGTTTTACCCTTTTCCAAAGTTGAGGAAAGGGTGGCAGTCGTTTTAGCCAGGTTATCCTGTTCTAGAGGGTGCCTATTGGAAACTAGCAGGCACAGTGCCAATACTTTAAGGCAGCATTGGTTCAGCTATCCCATGGGAGTCAGCCTGTGAAGGCACCTTTAAAGTGATTCATCACCTCAAGTCTAACATGAAGCATCCATTTGAATAGAAAGTAGAGCTCTAAGGACAGGACAATCATACAAGGTTCCTCTTGGCAGGAGCTACGCCTGCTGTGCAGGCTGTGCCACACCCAGCACGTCCTCCCCTGTGTGCTCCATGTCCCAGCAATTACCCTACTTATTTCTCGAGTTAATGGCATAATGATGATGCATGGTTTTTCCCAGCACCTCTGTGGTTAGTTGTGAAATATCAAAGGGCGCTCACTGCTGGAATCGAAATTGTCCCTCTTCCCACAAAACCACAAGGCTCTATCCCTAGCCTTTGCAGGGACTTTCACTTCTCCACCATTCACCACGTCTAAAAAATGCTGACAGACTGTGAGAACAAATAGGCTGTTGAGGAGAGAAGTAGGAGACAAGAGGAAGGAAATGAGGTTGATCAGAGGATCTAGTCATCAAGTACACAGAAGATACAGAATAGAGGACCCTTCCCTCCCATCATTCCCCTTCTTTCTCTCATCCTTTCCCCCACCCACACAATATAAGGTGAAAGATATAATTTGGAAGAGATCAACGTACTGGACTCCGCTGTCCATGAGAGCAGTCATTGCTCGTGAAGGAGTCACATTCTCCACCATGACGCCCAGGGTCTGACTGGCTGCTTTCTGAATGAACTCTGGGGAGTTCCAAACCATCTGGAGCAAGACCTGAGCAACCTCATCCACCTCAGAGTCCATGTCCTTCTTCAAGGTCACAAAGAGCTCTCCAAGAGCAACGATTGCAGAGTGAGACACCTTCGAGCGGAGGCTGGTCACCTGAGGAAGTCATGAGGGGAAACAATAATCACACTGTAAAGAAAATCAGTTCCCCTAGACAAAAGTCACAGAGAACTACAAGACTTCTTACTGTGTCCAGGGGGAAGATAAAAGCACAGTAAGAGCAGAAGACCACAAGCGCAGAAAGGCACTTACTCTCGTGCCAACTTCTTCTCTGGCCTTGGGCCCATTTACTGCAAGCCTATAAAATATTGTTACACCTAAACGAAGTGTGCTATTAAACTCATGGTGTACACTGCTTTGATTTTAGGCCCTTTTATTATAAAAACAAACAAATGAAAGCAAGGGCTGATTTCAAACCATAAAAGCACAATTCATAAAGACACGATAAAAAAAAAGTAGGACTTTTCTCCTGTTCAAAAAAGCAACACCAGCAGCTTAAGCACTCAACCAGGAAACAGAAAGCACAGGCTCAAGTCTGCAGAATAATTTGCTGCAGGGACTTGAGTGCATCTGCAGCTCTTTCTGCTCAGGAAAAGCCTAGTTGTTGGCCTCAGGGCACTCATGGTTCCTGGAGATCTCATGCAATTACAGCTGCCATCAGTGGGGTTTCACAGCTTTCAGTGCTGCTCCATTAGAACAGCTCTCCAAAAGGCTTCCAAAAGGCTCTCCCACAAGGTTAAGGAAGCAGCGTCTGAGAGCCACATGCTTCATTTTGAAAGATACTTTGAAGGACAGACCAGTGATTCTTTCTCCCACACTTAGCTGTGCCTCCTAATAAAAATTAACAACAAAGTGCTAGAAGTGCTTGTGAGAGAAAAACCTGGAACTGGAGTGAAATGAAAGCTGAAAGATGTCTCTGCATATGAGTGTGTAGAACAGAGAAGATGAAATTTCCTCCGAAATATAAAAGTGATATAAAAATCAGATGAGCTAAGCTAAAAGGGCTTCTACTCCTAACACTGATGATCTCAGAGTGGGAGAATCCCACTCCTACATATCTAAACAGACAGGTTTGAAGAGTCCAACAACACAAGGGGCATTCAAGCCTCCAGCATCATTAAATATTGGAGAGAAGGACTGATTTTCACGGATATGAACGAAGTCCTACTATCTTCTGCAAGCAAAGGAAAATTTTATATACTTGGAAATTGTGTAGCAGCTGGTTCAGGCCACAGACAAGTGCCAAGTTGGAAATAGAGCCACAGATGGTATTAGGGAACTTAGGTTGAGACCTCTCTGCTAACTGAGAGATGATGTAGTGAAGACATGTACAACTGCCCTGCAAATCCCACAGCCAGGCCACTGTGCAAAATTCCACTTGTGCACAGAGGCAATAGATGAATGAAAAGGGCAAATTACATAAAAGCACACAGAAAGGAAGAAGAAACCATCAGCGGGATACACTGGAAAATAAAGACCTGCAGTCAATCCCTCAGGATGCTGAGGAGGAAGAGAACGTGGGAGGAAGATGGGAGGGAAAAGCTTCAGTGTTTAATTGCAGCTTGAGCACAGATTTGGGCTGTGGCAAATAACCTAATTAGTATCTCAGTTTCTGCATTGGTATATTGCATTACAATGGCACCTAGCTCAAAGAGGAGAGTGTCAGATACCCTACATACCACTAAATATAAATATATGTACAGACAGATCAATTGTGACAGCAACTAGAAAAATAAGGTCTAAAAATAGTAATGAAGGGAGACACGGAGCACACATGTAGATGAACAAGCACATATCCACTCTACACACCATGTATGTGGGACAAAATTCAGCACAGTGTTCTTACCTCTTTGGTGACTGCCAAGGAAACCTCACGAAGTCTACAAAGAAGGACTTTTGAATGGGAGATAGCCAGGCATTTGATGCTGAGGAGTCCCTTCTCCTTCAGCTCCCTGAAAAGCAATAACCAAAAAGATTGATTTTTCTCTCCACCCAAGAAATAGGCTGCATCCTCTGAAATGACCAGGGTTATGGTTCATACAAAGGGAGGTGCTTTTCATACAGCTCTTAATTAAATCATGGAACTCGTTGCCACAGGATGCTGTGGCTGTCAAAAGCATTCACAAATCCAAAAGGCAAATAGATGGATTTCAGATTGTATGGATTAATTTGTGGCGATTTAACAAGACAGCCTTTCTGAAATCCCTGGCACATGAAGTCTCTATGTCACTGCTTCCTAGAAGCTGTGAGACCATGCCATGCTTCTGTTCCTTGCACCCTCCTTATACCTGTCCCTGAGACACAACCCTGTCAGTGTGTTACTGGGGTATTTTCCTTCTTTGCCATCCCCAGCAAAGTTCAAGAGTGAGAGTTTACACTGCCCCTCCATAGCTGAATTTCCACTCTGCAATCTAGTCCTGTTTGTCCCCCAATCCACCCCACCCCACACACTCCCCATAAAGCAGCAGTATGTCCTAAAAGATTTCACACCCGGGCAAGAACAGCAGAAATGCTGGATTTTCCAGAAAATCCCTACTTAAAATAGCACCCACAACAGCAACATATTATTTAAAAGGTGCAAAAACTTGCCTCTATCAGCACTTGCTTTGTGCAGGACCTGAGCTACAGGAAGGTACATGACCCAGCCATCAGGGCTGCAGCACAGGACTCGGGACTCATCCCACAGGGGTCCCTGAGTGTAACCCAGACCCCCCACACCTGCAGCAGCTCTCTGCATCTCACAGGGCACCAAACAGAAATGAGAGAGGCACAAAACAAAACAACTGCACAAGGAGATGCGTCACGGAAGATTTTTCGCAGTTATCCCAGTGTGAATGGAGTCCTAGTGAGCAGACGCTAAGCCAGAAATCTAAAACACAACTAGTATCACATGAAACTTTTAAGTCGTTACTGCTGGGCCTCTACAGGTCTACTCCTGTCTGTGTCTAACTACAGGACACACTGTGACTATTGACAAGACATCTCAGGTCCACATTAAGCAGTGAGAAGCAAAAAATTGAATTCTAAAAGTGCAAGATTCCTTAAGATGTTTTTTTTCTTTTTCCTTGTCTTCCTTGTCTTTCCTTGAGCCCTTCGGGAGAAATGACAGGCTGAGCAACCCTGCACCACAACTCAGTCCACTCCTCAGAAATAGGAACTCCCTGTAGGTGTGTCTGGGACATGCAGGAGATTATAGGGAGACCCTGTCTTCTGCCACTGCTGCCAGCAGCAGGACTAGAGAAAAATCCTTACTCAGTCCCACCTGGACCAGTGACCTGAGGCACCCAAATCTCTAAACTCAGAACTGCTTCCATCCTGCTTCTGGCTTCAGCCAGCAAATCATCTTGTTCTGCAGCTTTCCCTCTTCCCTACAGATTGCACTTGCAGCTACGTGGAGCAGAGAGCAAAATTAGGAAACAGCACAGACCTGCTGCAGCTGTACCACTGCTACAGACCAAGACCAATAAAAGGCTGCTCTCAAGTCTTTGTACTCTGACTGCTCTGGAGTGGTTTCACTAGTCCCCTTTGGACCTCTGGGCTGTCTGGGCTCCGAGGCACTAGAAAAATACACTTCTAACCTGCCTTTACTCTGAGGGGACTTTCTTACCAGTTGTCGCTGCTGAGCCATGCGAGTGCGCTGAGCAACAGCTGCTGAGGGTCAGAAGAGGGTTTGCCTTTCTGGGCATTCCCACATCCTGGCTCCTCTCTGCGCTCCAGACCAATGGCCATCTGTGAGTTCACTATGAGGAGAAGGTCAGACATGAGCATTTCATTCCCCAGCAAGACACCCCTCCACAGAGCAGGCAGCAACCCAGTCTCCCAGCCAAGATTACATATGGATGAAAACTGACACTGCTTCAGAGAATTCACTGCTGTCTGGCTCACTGCTTTCCCCAGCATCCAATGCTCTCCCAGCCACCCCCAGCTGGGCACCATCTCCTTGTGTAAACCTGAAAATTGCACACACAGCGCCAGCTTCCAGGTCCATATAGGTGCCACAGCCAGCTGCAGGCTCATAGTGCCACAGGGCTCACACTCACTGGGAGACAGTGCTACCCAGAAGGACATGCTACTCCAGGAGTAAGCTCCTCAGGTGGGCATGTGCCTCTCTTGTCTCATCTCCATAATGTCCCATCTCTGTAACTTTCTGAGGAAAGACCTCCAGCTGCCTCCCGTGAGCACCAAGCCTGAGCAACTGAGTCCTGCTGGGCTAGGGTGAATCCCCAGGGAGCAACCAACATGGAACAGTGATACCTGATCCTCTAAATCTGACAGTGTCTCTGTTTCCATTTACTTCAAATATTATAGACAGCAGGCAGCTGAGTGCACGTACATTTTAGGATACTATTGGGAAAGTAGTAGTTTATGGATTTTGTTATTTTCCAAGCATTATGAATATTTACTATTTCAGAGGTACCCACTGGCTGTATTTCAGAGATGCTGAGGTGAAATTTATTTGTCATCAAATGTACTTGTTTGCAAACTCTACAACGTCTAAGCTTTCTCTTGTGGAAAAATGCAATTTCTAGTCTAGATAGTTGTGATAAAAAAGCCTTCCAAATGCGAACTGAGAATAAAAATATGTAAATATAGATGCAAATTGTTGGCAAACACACTCTCTTGATGATAAATTTACAAGGTAGAAGAAAATTCAGATGATAAATGCGTTTCTTATGAAACCCATTTGCCATCAAAAGCACTGTCGATCAAAAATTTCATGTCTTGCACTCAAAAGCTCATTTTCTAAAGTGTAGATGAAAACATCTGAGCTGTCTAAAAGTATTGAGTATAAATATTGCACAGAATCTAGATGAACTGCTATAGACTCTGTAGGGGTTTCATGCTACCTTGCATGTTCTACAAAGTATGGAGGAACTGTAAAATCAAAAATATTTGGATGCAAGCTAATCTGGATGTCACTGATGTATCACTGTCACTGACATCAATGATGTCACTGCACAAGTATGCAGATATACACATCCATATTCAATATGAATGGAGGGCCATATCAGGCTAGTTATGGTCAATCTTGAAAACTGAAGTGGCGTCACTAGAAAAGAGAATTCAAAGTATCATTCCTACCCCTCTTTTTCTTGTCCACCCTGCTCAGGATCATAACACAAGGCAGGCTACCCACAAAGGAGAGACAAGAACTACTGTGGACTATCTGCTGTATATTTATTGCAGGCAGCAAGCAGCCTGGGAGCACCAGGCAGCCTGTCCTGTATGTCATCTGCTACACACAGCCACTGTATTTGGGTGGGGCGACAGAGGAAGAGCACTGCTTGTTCCCAGTTTCCTTTGCAGGCAGTGGGATGAAAGTGGATAGAAGCCATTATGCACTTCTGGGTGCAACAGCACAATTGTATCAAGTCCCTGATTTCCCTGCAGAGACAACCCTTGCTGTGATAGCAGAAAAGCTGGCTGAAGAGCCAGCACAGGCAGAGGGCCAAGATGGTGCGTGGACAATTGATCACGGTGGTACTCGGAGGGGCACAGTGAGCACACCCTACCAGACTACACTGGAGCCCAGCTCTGCACTTACAGCTGCCTCCTGGCACCAATGTTGTATTTTGGACTATCAATATGGGCAAAAGCCAGAACTTAAGCCTTTACCACTGCTTTATTTCAGCTCAACTTTCCAATGGATCTCTAAGCACCAACTGCTCCAGCACCACCAAGCTGGAGTAAATCCAAAGTAGATTTGCTGCTAATTCTCAGGACAGTCTATGGACCCAAGATCCCAGCTGTGGCTGAGGAGAGAGGCAGTTTGTGCTCCTTGTGCAAGGAAACAGCTTGTGCGTGGGGCAGCAGTGGAGCAGGCTTACCTGAGAAGTTCTGTGGGAAGCTGCCATCCACATTGATGTTGGGTGTCTTGGGCATTAGGGGCACGTTGATCTGCTTCTTCAATATTCGTGTCTTCAAGGCAGCAGCAGGCTTTCTGTGCACATTGAAAAGGGTCCCGTTGACAGGTGGTAGGCTAAAGCCTGCAGATACCAAAGAGGACCTTGTAAGTGAAGAGTGCTGGACAGCATGGCTAGGGGCTTGGAAAGGGCTAGAAAACTTTCTGGAGCTGGGTTACATCTCTTTGTTGCCCCAAACAACTTCAAGCATAACAATTGCATGCTAACACTGGACAGTGATCACATAATCACAGAGTCATAGCATAGTTTGGGTTGGAAGGGACCTTCAAAAGGCCACGTAGTCCAACTCCCCTGAGCAGGGACATCTTCAACTAGATCAGGTTTTTCAGAACATCTTCAATGATGGAGCAACAACAGCTTCTCTGGGCAAACTGTTCCAGAATTTCATCACCTTCGCTGTAAAAAATTCCTTCCTAATATCTAGTCTGAATCTACCCTCTTTTAGTTTAAAACCGAATGCAGTGGTGCTTTCCCCAAGAAACAAGGAAAACTCAGCATGGCTTTTCTTTTGTTTTTCTGTTTCAGAGGCTGGATTGGGAAGTTACAAAAAAAAAAAAAGAAAAAAAAAGGAGCAGATAACCTTGCACGATGCCCTTGGGCTGAGTGCTGACTCTTCAAGTTCCCTGCTGCCGCGCTCAGGGCAGCGCACGCAGCAGTGCAATCAGAGCCCATCAGCTGTGATTAAGTCAGTAAGGCTGCTTGCTCGTGGGGGTAAAACATAAGCACTGGCTCAGGGCTTCAGCACAGCTCTACGGTGAGAGTTCCTTGGCAGGGAGTGGTGTGAGCAGGATGTCTTGTGTTTTAATTAGAAGCAGTTTAATTTTGTTTCTTCCAGGTTGCACCTTGGTTGAAAAGCATTCTTTTGGACTCATCCACTCACCTTCTCTGGAGGCTGCTCACAACTAGAGAGTCTGAAGCCCCTGTGTAGTTTGCATGGCAGGGTTTTCTATCTTGAAGGACTTTATAGGTGAAGGTGGGAAGCTGATATTCTGTGGCAATTCAGTGAGGGCCATAGGCAAGACACTTCATGTCTCTGTATTTTTCATTGGAAAATGGAAATAAATCATATTCAAACTTCCACTCAGAAGCAACTGTAACAGCCTTCCAGTCTGATTTCATAGAGTTTTGCAACACTATGCAAAGAGAAAGCAAGTGATCAAAAAGGCTGACAACTATAGCAACCACTTACTTTCTTCAGCTGCATTCCTGGGGTCAACTCTCTGTGTAGGGAACTGCAAGGACTTTTCCTTCTCTCTCTCTTTCTCCAAAAGCTCCATCTCTCTCATTTTTCGCTGTTGTATTTTCTTTTCAGCTGATTTGCATAATACAACACGGACCTAGTTGCGATGGAAATACATCACAGACCATAAACAGAGATACACAAACCGTACACAACAGGAACACAGTGGTAGAGTGTCATAGTCTTTAAAGCAGCTCCATATACATCCCAATAGTTTCAGAAGAATTTCTCCTGTCCTCACTTTGACAATTACACACAGTGAGGTGGAACACTTTATTGCCATAACCTTCTATTTGTCCAAGGTACTATTTGTGAATCTGTGTCAGGGTGCCCTGCTTGAACTGAGAAAGTCATAGGAGTGCTCCAAGGCATATGAAAAGCTCACACTACTGGTGAACAGGCCGTGGCAGGAGAATAAAAACCATCTGCAATAACCAGCAATAAGAGCTGTTTATTAACACTCATGGCCAGTAATTGTAGCTGTTTCTCACTTCTTTGGTTCTGAAGGACTCAGCTGCTCTCCAAGAACACAAGTCCACAAAAGGAGTCATGTGAAAACAAGTTACAGAAACATTGGTCTTAATGAATTAAAAAACCTGACAATGAGAGGGCTATGAGATACAGCAAGAAAGGTAACCAGGAAAAATCAAACTCTCCTATTTTATTTTGCTTCTAATGTTGCTTACACTCAACATTAGAATCTTTCCTTCTCTGCTTCCAAGTGTGCACTTTGCACATGTTCACTGATGTAACTTGTCCTGCCATTCAAAACTTCTCTAAATTGGCCTTCACACATAGAGAGAATGCTTCTTTCATAACCTTAGCACCATCTCCTAACCAGTGACACCTGCACCAGTAAAAATACCCAAGCAATTGCTCTGTAGCTGTCAAATGTGTTCCCAAGAGAATCCCCATCCCCTAGGAGAGGAAGATTATGATTTTCAGTGACATTTTGTGCTAAGCACAGAACAGTCACTGAAAAGGAAGCCTGCTCATCCCTGTCCTTAGCCCTTACCCTTCCACTGCTGTCCTTCAAGTCGTCATCGTTTGTAAAGCGAGGACTCATGAGATGATCCATGTCCTTGGTCTGTCTCAGTGGGAGGCCTGTTAATAGAAGCAAAGGTCCATGTAAATGTCCAGCAGACTTCAAGCCACCAAAACCGTGACACTGGGGAACAAGGCAACCCAGGTTCCAGACTGCAGAGCTCTGATAATACACAGAGATTATGTATGAGAACAGCAAGGCACATATACCTATAACCTCTCCAAACAGATGGGGTACTGCCATGTTGCACTGGCAGCTGAAATGACACTTCTCTGTTGGCCATCAGACTCAAACCTACTGCATGATAAAGGCCTCAGCCCTTCGCTTCTGGTGAGCAGCTGTGTTTGATAGAGAAGGGTGAAGAGATGCAGATTGCTCCTGCCAAAGAGATTTTATCTGTTCCTATCCATGCTGATTTTAGCAAGCATCCTCTTTTTCCCAGTTACTAAAAGAACTCCTACATTTTAATAGATGTATGTATTTATTGGAATATTTTAGAGGGCATTTAAAGAAAAGCTTAGGTCCACTAGAGTGTTACCCAAACTTGAATTGTGTTCTTGAAGCTAGATAATTCATTTTCCCCAAGGATTTTCATTCTAAATTATATGAGATCAGGCCACTTTCTAGCCAGCCTAAAGGCTGATTTTCTTAATGGAAATAGCACAGTGCAGCTCATTCCAAAACAGTCTCCAACAGAGCTGTTCAACTCAGAGAATTAATCATTCCTTACACAGTTTCACAGATGATAAAATCATGTGGTAGCCAAGCAGGAAAAAAAGATTAATTTGCTTCAATCAGAATTTTTTTCACCCTGCAGAATGACCAGGTCAATAATGAAAGAGAGACAGATATGGGCTTTGAGGAAGGAGGGTTGTTCTGGATGGAGGCAAGGGCTTGGAGGGTAACAGCATCTGGGAAGTTGACAGGGAAACCACTGACTCCTTGGGATCACTGCAGTCAGTCAGGCCTGCAAAGTGGAGATACAAAGCATAACAGAGGCTGCTCTGCAAAACTAAAGCATCTGAAGCTACAGACTTCATTGGACAGATTTCTTGGAAACTTCTAAATAACTACACAGGGAAACATGCTCATGCTGGCAGTCACCCCAAGCAGGCCAGTGGACAACTCACCCACTTCCACAGAGCTACCAGAGGAACATCCTGGACTCTGGGCTCCTGTTGGACAACAGGGAGCCCACAGACCTGTGCTTATCAAGGGTAATTCACCTGCACATACACTCTCCTGCTCCTCTCCCTGCCTCACAGCTGTACACCCCTGGAGCTACATTGGGGATGACAGCAGGACAGGTTATTGCAGGGGGGCACGTGCAGGGGAGAACTGTTCACTGGGAATGTGCACAGGCTCTCTAGGATGGGAAAAGACCCTTCCTCCCACCACAGGGAGGGACGGTTCCCGCCTTACCTCTTTGTGAGGCTACCAGATGCTCAGTCTTCCCCTTGTCCTGGCCAGGAGTGGTTCTGGGGGCAGTGCTGCTCACCTCCCTCTCTCGGGGGTCCTGGGTCAAGGCCCCGTGAGCGAGGTGGGAGCAGTGACCTCCATTGCCAGTGCCGAGGTTCCACACACCAGCCTTGCAGCCAAATGGGGGAACAAGGGTACTGGGGTGTGGAAGTTTCTCAGGTCCTTCCCCACACCATGAATCTGTTGTCCTCTTCATCTGTTTTTTTGGTATGGACTGAGAAGAAGCTGTAGACCAGGTAAAAGGGAGGAAGTGAGTTAGTTGACCTCACTCCTTTACAATGAACACACCTAATGGGTAAGGCATTTAATGTTTTTTTTTAATCATTCATTTCAGAAGATCAGTTTTTATTTTTCACGAAACTAGCATCAGTCTAATTCCTCTGAACAGTACTGAACTAGCAAGCCAGGAGACAGATTCTACTAATTTGCTTATGTGTTGCTATTTGCCCATCCACGATTACAGGATCTCTTTCCTTTCAAACAGTAGGCAACCCACAATGGTCTCTAGAATTTGACACTGTCTAGGAAGTAGATGCTTTCCAAAGCTAGTGTTTAAGTCCTTTGTTTCTGTAATTCCCACTGAATTTTGGGCTGGGTTTTGTTGGGGCTTTTTATTTCTTTTCACAACAAAAGAAGTACTAGGACACAAACCATATCACCAGGTATTATAATTAAAGGAAGCTTTGCACTCTGCACTAGATGTCCCCAGTATTCAATGGGCCTATATCTGTAGGGTGAAAATTGGCCACCCAAAAATTGTACTTTTGTTCTGCTTCATTGTTACAGGGACTTATTCCCTGCCTCCTTTACTGGAAAGACTCACAAATCCATGATAAACATGATCTGCCTCAAAGAATTTGTGATCTTGGCTGTTCCTGAAAATTCAAAATTTCTTAATAGAAATAGCACAGGGCAGTTCCTTCTGAAATACTCTCCAACAGAGCTGTTAAAACTCAGAGAACTAATCATTCTTTTGCATGGCTTCACAGATGATAAAATCATGTGGCAGCCAAACCATAAAAGAGGAATAACTTCCTTAAATCAGGATTTTTTTTCCCCGTGGAATGGTCAGGTCAATAATAAAAGAGAGACAGATAAGGTTTAACGATATAGCTCATTTCTAGTCCAGAATGTATCCTGCAAAAATGTCACCTTACTTACTCAGCAACACTTCTCCCTAGTTGCATTCAGTATTCTAGCTGCATATCAGCAATAAAGGAATCATTCTGAAGGGACATGCCCATTATTGGCAGAACTAACACTGAGCCAAGGGAACCAGTGGATCTTATCCCTTTTTCTGCATCAGCAAAATTATTTGTTCAATTCTCCTATCACTATAAACCATCAGGAGGCAAAAGGACAGCAATGGTGTCGTTGAAGTTTTCAACTTGAAAGTATTAGCTGACACAGATGCACCAGACACTGCATTTTGTCTTGTAGAATTCTTATTCCTAGTGATAAGGCAAAGCAGGGAGGGGAGGGCAAGCCATAAGGCATCTCCTAGCCAAGCCTCAGTTTGCAATGCTGCCACAGGCAGGTAGGGCAGGGAAAGAGATTTCTAATCATGAACCTGGCATATGTGGTTTGAGGTAAATGAGTTGTACAAGGGAAACTTCAGCATTTAATTTAGGTTTGTGCTTTAAGAGAATGAAAAACTCAGATCCTGCATAGGCTGGATCCTTTTTTAAGTCTCTTTCTCTGTAAATAGAAAATTTACAAGGTCTTTCTATCACAGGAGATTTCACTATTTCTCCCAGTGCAAAAACAGGCAATGTTGATGAATCTACTTCAGCTCTCAAAGGATTTGGCTCAGGATCTGCCCCAAGGGAAGGTTTTCTCCTTCAAGTGTATGAGGAAGGAGTGGGAACATTTCTCATTTCATGCTAAATGCCTTTTTCTCTAATAATTGTGACATTAGAAACTATGCAGGGAGATAAAAGGTATGCACACAATGTAGAGGAATGTTTTCTTTTTCTGATGTGCATTTCCAGGGCCCCAAGGTACCCCTCCAGCTCCTGCCATTCTACACTTCAGTCTGGAATAATTTTCACTGCATCACCAAAGCACATTTCCCAGTGACTGGGTTCTGGAGGAGTCATCTGACCCCATCAAGGAACTGAAAAAATTACAGGATAGTTTTCAAGCAAACTTTCAGATTCCTATGGTCATTTTAGGACAGACATGCCCTGTACCTACCTAGATATTTAGAGTTCTTCTCTTCATTTCTGCTGATTGATCTTAGCCTTGAGAAAATTGAGGATAAAAGAACATATGAGGAGATAGAATGAGAAGGTGGGGGATGGCCGTAACGTTAAAGGACGCAAACTTTCTCAGCATGGTCATTCTGATGAAGGGGGAAATGCAACACCTAAACCCAACAATACGCAAAGCTGATTAATTGTCATTAACCTTTCTGTTGCTGGAGTCAGACAGAGCTCATCAAGCTCCAGCTGAAACACTGGAACCATTCTTCAGTTTGTGTCATAACTATCCAATTCTGCTGTCTCTCCTTTTGGAATTAAGTGGCTCTTACTGGTATGTACAGCCTCTCTGAACCAGCAAAAGATGTTAAGGCAGTCATAAGTCTGTATTGAGGGCAGCTACTTTTGTACTGCTGCAGAAGCTTAACTTTGCCTGGTCATGCCTTAAACTGATGATAGCATCTTGCTACACACTGTAATATCAGTGCTGTCTCCCGAGGATAATATTACACCTCCTTGCTCTTTCAAGAAGAAAAAGGGTTTTTCCAACTCAGTTGGTAGGTAAGTATATTCAGATTGCACTTTAAAAGCCATACTGAAGCTTTTAAATTGGACTGATATTTCCGTGACTCATTATTTATTGTTATAACTAGGATAAGGTTGACAGCTAGATTTCCTCATGCATACCCAAGAAAATATCTTTCCATCAGTTACAGTCCTATAACTGTTCTCTAACACCTTGCCCTCTTTGATCTTAAAACCTTATGTAAATATTAAACATCTATGGGATTATACATCCATAAACCAAAATTTATCTGGCTCTCATTTCACAGTGGAGGCCCAGACACAGAGAAGTTATGACTGACATTTACAGAAGCAGCATCTGAATTTGCAGACAGCTCTACAATAGCCAGTATTTGCCCTAAAATATTCTTGCAGAAACTGACAGTCAAAGATCACACACAAAACCAAGTGCTGCATTCAGATCCATGCAATACAGTTCCCAAACGACACTACAAAGATTATAGACGGAATCGATAGCTGAGTCTAACAGAGGACCTGTTTTAAGGTCCTCTTAAGTCCTGCCTCCTCTTCCCCACCATCACCTCTGCTCTTAGAGTGTATGGTGTTGGTTTTGACATTGTACTGGATCATTATAGATAGGCAAAATGGTGAATACACAAAGGTTTGCGTAAATACATTGGAGAGCTGACTGTGGAAAATAACCTCACAAGACGAAAAGTGCAAGGTGAACAACATATTGGAGCAGCAGACACCTTGGCTTACCTCATGTCCTGGGCCTCTTGGTGCTGAGAGCTTGGGAGAGACACTGCAGCACTGCCAAGAGGTGGACTTACTGACTTAGGTATAGGGGGGATCAAAGACGGTCCCAATGGCCCTTTCTTCATATCCCCACCACTGCAATGCACAGGCAGCAGGGAAGCCTGGAAACAGTAGAACACAGTGCTCAGCTCAAGCACCCAGCCCTTCCCCTTTGATGTCACAAGAAGTTTAGCCATGCTTTTAGCTAGGACTTGGCAGGAAAAGTCCAACTGATGGAGCAGCTTGGCCCAGGATGGGCAATGGAAAGGGAAGTGGTGAGGGAGAGACCCTGTCTCAAATTTGCCAGCTCTCTTCCCTCACTCACTTCTCTGGCAGTGTGGCTGCATTACCATCTGGCATCCACATGCTTGGCATAAAGATGTTCTGAGGTGCCACTGCCTCTCTTGGCCTTTTGGATGGTATGGGAATGGATTTAGGTCACTATCCTCTCACTGTCCCTAAAGCACCTACCAGCTATTGCTGATCTCCTGCCAAGTCCCCATAAAATCATTCTGCACAAAGTCAAAAACTGCTTTTCTCAAGCCTGTAATGTTTTCTGCTTCTGCCCTTCCCCTACAGCCCCCCACCAGCCTTTCATCCCAGATGCTGATGTGCTCTCTGCATGCTCAGTGCTCTCCGGATCCCACACAATTCATCTTCGCAGGCTCGCTGTCATTTATTAAGTTGAGCAGAGCTCCCTGCCCTGCTGCTCTGTGTAAGGTTGCTCTAGTTGCCTGCTCTAGTTTCTTCAGGTCCCCCACACCATGGCTAGGAAGGAGGGTGGAAGGAGCAGGGGCAGATGCACACCCTTCCTTAGCATCCCCATCATTTTCGGCAGAGCTAAAGAGCCAAACTGAGACCTGGTCAAACTTCAGTGAAATGATCAGCTAATGTCAGGGATACATTTGGCCCTTTATCAGCAAGGCTGAAATCAAGTACACAAGGCTTTTTATTGGTTATTCTCTTTAAAAAAGCTGTTGTTCATCTTCTTTCTCCTGCACACCACACCAAATCCAAAATAACTGAAGCTCCTGTCCCTCTTGCAAAGGGATCCCCAGTCGTGTGGATGGGGTTTGGACTGCACTCCCCATGGCCACCTGTCATCACTTACCTCTGGACAGACCCATGGCAGAGGACAAAGCTCCACAGAAGCTGATGAAGTCTAGAAATATTAGAGACAACTGTGCAGAAGGGCATGGCTGTACAACTCAAAAGCTGAGGCAACCTAGAATTGAGTTTGCAGGACTGCCTGCTCCAGCAAATATTTTTTTCCATCAAAACCAAACAGAGCTGATATAAAACACTACTAAGACATTGGAGTGTCTGGAACTGTAACCACAACATATTGGTATCGATAGCAATATCTATTGATACACGTCAGTGCAGGGGATGAAGTCTGCAGCACACACACTGCAAAGACAGCCTGAAGTGTGATGTCCCTCTGAGCTCTTCCGTGGTTCAGCTGCTTTCATTCACTTACACCACAGGGAAAGAAGACCTCAGAACTCTGCCTACATGGCATAAACTGAAAATTGACCACACAGAATGTGGCTTGTTTTCCTTACCTGGCATTCTCTTTCCTCTGTTATCAGCTCCTTGTTATTACCCTCACTGTCATCATAGCCTGGGCCATTTTCCCCATGCTCCTGCTCTCTGTTGCACATCTTGCTGGGCTTCAAGGAAGGAGGGCTGTTCTGGATGGGAGGCAAGGGCTTGGAGGGTAACAGCATCTGGGAAGTTGACAAGGAAACCACTGACTCCTTGGGATCACTGCAGTCAGTCAGGCCTGCAAAGTGGAGATACAAAGCATAACAGAGGCTGCTCTGCAAACCTAAAGCATCTGAAGCTACAGACTTCATTGGACAGATTTCTTGGAAACTTCTAAATAACTACACAGGGAAACATGCTCATGCTGGCAGTCACCCCAAGCAGGCCAGTGGACAACTCTGACCCACTTCCACAGGGGAACAACCTGGCAGGACAGGTTACTGCAGGGGGGCATGTGCAGGGGAGAACTGTTCACTGGGAATGTGCACAGGCTCTCTAGGATGGAAAAGACCCTTCCTCCCACCACAGAGAGGGACAGTTCCCGCCTTACCTCTTTGTGAGGCTACCAGATGCTCAGTCTTCCCCTTGTCCTGGCCAGGAGTGGTTCTGGGGGCAGTGCTGCTCACCTCCCTCTCTCGGGGGTCCTGGGTCAAGGCCCCATGAGCGAGGTGGGAGCAGTGACCTCCATTGCCAGTGCCGAGGTTCCACACACCAGCCTTGCAGCCAAACAGGGGAGCGAGGGCACTTGGGTATGGAGGTTTCCCAGGTCTTGCCACACACCATAAACCCCTTCGCTTCTTCATCGGGGTTTTTAACATGGACTGAGAAGAGGCTGTAGACCAGGTAAAAGGAAGAGAGTTGACCTCACACCTTTACAATCAACCCATCTAATGGGTGAGACATTCAAGGATTTTTTGAATCACTTAGGAGATCAGTTTGTTTCTAGTTTTTTACGCAACTAGCATCAGTTTAATTCCTCTGAACAGGAAGAATTAATCCTCTGAGCTAGCAAGCCAGGAGAGGAGATGGAAGGCTCCACCGGTAAGAGGGGAAAAAAGATTCCCATTTGAGACTTGGCCTCTGTGAAGGCTACCAGTAAATACCTACAGGGTGCTACTGCTATTTCTGGAAACCAGAAAGACATCTCAGCAAGTGGGCAGACCTTGCTGGTGTTTTTACAGCACCATACCATCTTCAAGGTCTGGTATGATGAGCAAGCAGAAGAAGAACAGGAAATTTACCTATAGTGAGACCGGACAATGATAGCAAAGATAGAAACAGATCTTACATATCATTACCATGTCCCATTTGTGGCCAGCTGAGCCACAGTCCCTGTCCTGGCTGGCGGTACTAGTGATTTGGCTACTGTTGAAAAGGAGAAAGCATAATGAACTAATGATAGAAAGATGTGATGCCATGTGCATGCCTGGAAGATCATCTTGTAGCTGTCAGCCATCTACTCTGACACAGAGCCAGCACTGACATCCACGGACCATTTCTCCCTGAAATCTGGTGGGTTTGGGGTTTTTTGGGTTTGGTGTTTTTTTTTTTTTCATTTGGCTGAGGCCACCACTGCATGTTCAGCTCCTTTCTATCCTCACCTTCAGTGGTCCGTCCGTTGCCACCAAACCGTGTGTTCGGATCGACGCTTCCGCCCTGCAGAGCTCTGTGCCTGCCTTTGGGTTTGGGAACGCTCCCAGCGGGGGCAGCAACGGGGGCTTGGCACCTAGCTTTAAAATAAGGACAGGACGGGTGACTCCAACTCCCGGCAGCGGACAGGGAGGGGCCAAGCCAGGCACGTCTCCTCCCGCCATGGTCCGTGCCCCCCTCACCTGCACATCCTCTGCGCGGGGCTGCCCCCTGTGACGCACCCGCGTTCCGTCCCGCGGGCCGCGCAACGTTCTGTCATTTGCATACCCGCGGAATCCCCAGCGCACCCCACCCCCATCCCACCCCTATTCTATCCCCTTCCCATCCCCATCCCACTCCCTACCCCATCCCCGACGCCACCCCCTTCCCAAGGGCAGGCAGCCCTGCGCCTCGCCGGGCAGGGCTCGGGAGTTCGACACTGTCTAGGAAGCAGATGCTTTCCAAAGCTAGTTTTCCAGCCCTCTGCTTCTGTAATTCCCACTCAAGTCTGGGTTGGGTTTTGCCAGGTTTGTGTTTTTTTGGGGGTTTGTTTGTTTGGTTGTTTGTTTGTTTGTTTGTTTTTGTATTATTATTATTATTATTATTATTTCTCTTGACTGCAAAGGAAGTGCTGGGAAACGAGCAGCTGTTATAATTAAAAGAAGCTTTGCACTCTGCTTTTGATGTTCCCAGTATTCAGTGGGCCTATATGATTAATGTATCTGTAGGGTGCAAACTGGCAATCCAAATGTTCTCCTTCATTGTGACACAGATTTATTCCGTTTTCTTTACTGCAGGGGCACCCAAACACAACACAAACATGATCTGCATCAAAAAAATTCTGATCTTGGCTGTTCCTGAAAATTCAAAATTATACACAGCGTATTTCCCTGTCCCTTGTCCTGGCCAATCTCTTCCCTATTCCCCAGCCTCCAAGACTGGGCTCTCACTTGCACGGCATGAAGAATAGCTGCTGCTGCACTTGCCAGCGTCTCCCAGGTCTCGCGATCAACACTTTGAATGCAGCTTTTGTACATGCTCTGTCTCCCTGAGGCCAGCAGTATTCCTGGGCATCGGCACCATCGCTGCAGGCAAATGTCCTCCAGGCAAAGGCTGCAGGAACGAGACTGCAAGAAGTGCTGGCTGAAGAAGTCTCCATTCTGCTGCAGCCCTCTACCTGCGGCGAAGTCACCTTGTGCTGCCATGGTGGGGGCAGAGGGTGTGACGAGTTCTTTGCAGATGAGAGTCTACTCGAGGTGCTGCTGGTCGCTGGGCCTGACACAGCTGCCGGTGCGTTTCCCTGCAGCATCAGGAGCCTACACGGAAAAATAACACTGCTAGTGCAAGTGACAGCCACCAATCCCTGGCATGGCCCTGCCTACAGGGGGTCCTGATACCAAACTGCTCGAGTCAGGTGGTGTTAGAGCAACATAAAGAGATGTTCAAGCTATACATTTTCCACATTCTGTCAAAATTATGGCCATAAAGTCCAAATGCTGGAGAAAGACTACTGTCAGCAGCATGGGGGAAGTATATCTCTACCCCAGCAGCTGCTTTCCCCATGGCTGTTTGGGCATGGCAGCAGAGACCAGTCTCTCATCATGCCCACTTGCTGTTGGACCCGGGACAGTGCCTCAGAGTTGTTCCCACTGAACTCAGGGCTGCCACTACAGCAGGAGCACCACTCCATACATTTGGTAACAATGAGCTGTAACATCATACAGGACTTGCACCAAAAGCTACCAAAAAAATAAAAAAAAAAAAAAAAGAGGGTTAGAATAGTTTGCTCCTTTTCAGTACAGACATAGCTGAATTTAAGCAGGAGCACTGGGCTAATGATACTGGAGACTGGTGTGTAACCCCTACTTCTAGCACTTCCCACTAGTTTGCAAGATTTTTTACTGTCGAAAGGCATAGATAAGATTTTACAACACACCTATGAGTAATTCTGAGCCACAACTCAAACCACAAGACAAATACTTCCAAATCTGCCACCCAGTGGGAAAGGAAGGAGAAAAGCAGTGGAAAGAAGTGCTGTTGTAGACAAATTGCCTGCATTTATCATGTTGCTGAGGTACCTCTAGCACTTGCAGCACCTCAGAAAGCCTGAAACTACAGCACAACTCATAATTATGGATGCCAGCACCCAGAAACTTCCTGCCGTGCTCACATCAGCAAGCACATATCCCAAAGGACATAGACAGTGCTATGGGATGCAGGGTATATGAGGGCAAAGAAAGTTTGTGCTTAGCCCTTCAGGTTAGTACTACAGCAAAATGTGACAATGTTCAGCTTCAGTCCCTGTAGACCATCTCTTTGCTGGTTTGGTTGCTTTCACTTCAAAACTGCTTCTGACAGAGACTTCAGTTGCCATACTGGGCTTCCTTAAACATATTAGCCCATTTCTTATGGCCTAAGTAAGAGGTAAGAGTGGATTTTGCAGAGCATATTTTAGGACAAGAGGTCAGGATGGCAAAGCAGCAGTAAAATCCCTGTAGAGGTGAGTACTGAAGGATGCCAAATAGAACCGCTTTTGAAAATCCACTCACAGGTGCCTCTAAGCTCTGCAAACACAATGACTACCACATGGCAGCTGAGTGAGGCCAGAAGAATCAATCACAGACACAGTTCAGTGTAATTATTACAATAGAAAAAACGCCTCTGCACTCAATGGAAAAGGGAAAGGCAGATCTCTTTTAATGTGTTCTGTAAGCTTAAAACAAATAACAAAGAATGCCTATACAAGGCCTTAGGTACCCTACTAACAATCCTGACAATCAAACTTACAATCAGATAAAATGGTATCCTTAAACAAATTTCAATGGAAATTGTTCATATTACAGCAAGGCCTAATAACGTTCTACCCCACACCCAAGTGATTTAATTCAGCTCAAAAGCTGTCAAAGTGTTCATCTGGAGTAAAGGTAGTGTTTGCAGAAAGGCTGAAGTCAGCTGAGAGAGTTAACCCACTTCTGGCTTTCATCTTTTTTATTAGCTTAGATAAATCACAGAATATCAAGTTGAAAGAGGACCTCAAGGATCCTCTAGTCTAAACTTTCTTGTCAAAAGCACCTAAATTCACAGACTAAAAGTGCTTAGAGGGCTTATAGAGCCTGATTCCCATTACTTTCAAGGGAAGGCAGGCACTAAATGCTTTAAAAACAGAAACGTAGGTCTATTTGGGACTGCATACTTGAAAACAAGGACTCTTCCTACCCTCCAGTACCCTTTGCCCAACCTGGTGTCATCTGCAAACTGACTGAGGGTGCCCTTGATCCCCTCATCCAGACCGTTAATAAAAATATTAAACATGACTGACCCAAACTGGCCCTGGGGAACACCATTTGTGACCAGCTGCCAGCTGGATTTAACTCCATTCATTACCACCACTCTCTGGGCCTGTCCATCCAGACAGTTTTTTACCCAGGGCAGAGTGTGCACATCCAAGCCGTGAGCAGCCAGCTTCTCTGGGAGACTGCTGCGGGAAATGGTGTCAAAGGCTTACTAAAGTTTAGGTAGACAACATCCTCAGCCTTCCTCTCATCCACTGAGAGGGTCTCCTTATGATAGAAGGAGATCATGTTGGTCAAGCAGGACCTGCCTACTCATGTTGGCTGAGTCTGGTGTCCTACTTGTCCTGCATGTGCTGTGTGATGGCACTCAAGGTGATCTGCTCCATGACCTTCCGGGGCACTGAGGTCAGGCTGACAGACCTGTAGTTCCTCAGATCCTCCTTCTGACCCTTCTTGTAGATGGGAATCACAGCTGCTAACTTCCAGTCACCTGGAACCTCCCCAGTTAACCAGGACTGATGATAAATGATTGAAAGTGGCTTGATGACCTCTTCTGCCAGCTCCCTCAGTACCCTTGGATGGATCCCATCTGGCCCCATGTGATGTGTCTAAGTGGTGCAGCAGGTCACTGACCATTTCCCCTTGGATTATGGGAGCTTTCTTCTGCTCCTCATCCCTGTTTTCCAGCTCAGGGGCCCAGGTATCTGGAGGACAACTGGTCTTTCTTTTAAAGACTGAGGCAAACAAGGCATTAAGTATCTCAGTCTTTTCCTCATCTTTTGTCCTATATTTCCTCTCACATCCAACAAAGGATGGAGATTCTCCTTAGCCCTCCTTTTGTTGCTGGTATATTTACACAAATATTTTTATTGTTTTTTACAAGTTTCTACAAAGAAATTCTTTACTGTGAAGGTGGTGAGGCACCGGAACAGGTTGCCCAGAGAAGTTGTAGATGCCCCATCCCTGGAAGGGTTCAAGGCCAGGTTGTATGGGGCCCTGAGCAACCTGGTCTAGTGGGAGGTGTCCCTGCCAACAGCCAGGGGGTTGGAACTGGATGATCTTTAAGGTCCCTTCCAACCCAAACTGTTCTATGATTCTATGATTTCACTCCAGTAGCCAGATAAAACTTGGGCTTTGTCCCTTCTAATTTTGCCCCTAGATAACCTCACAACATCCTCATAGTTGTGAATTGCCTTTGCCTTTTTCCAAAGATGATGAACTCTCACTTTTCCCTGTGTTCCAGTCAAAGCTCTCTGTGGGACTCGTACATAAAGCAGGGATTCAGGTATGTTTTCCTAGGGCTCATTGCATAGGAATAATATCTAAGAAGCACATCAGTGGCAATTTTGTCTGGTTAAGATCACCCCCTAAATGAATCTGACCATGCCCCATTGCTTAAGGTATTAAAAATGCCCAAGAGAAAGTTAGTGCGTCCTGTAGCCAGGATAGAAGCTGCCTCTGCCATGGACTTACCCAAAACACAAAGCCAGGCTTCTCCACAGTTCAGTCTTGTTCCTCGGCAAGGCTGTTCTGCCAAACTAGCATGCTCTGAAGTGTAACCAGAAAGGGCATTACTTATGACACTATCTTTGTGGTCCCCAAAGGCTTAATTGCCAAAATTCAGGACATAGATCCTATTTAAGGCCAGGTATGCGATATGGAAAATCCCGAATGTAAAGCCACCCCTTTCTCCCTTGCACTGAAACCACTGCAACTGGAATGATACCAGCAAAGCAAAGTGCCTGCAGCCTGGGGGTGCTCTGGGTGTGCAGGATTCATCTTCTGCCACTGCTGTCGGAGCATGAAAAACAAGCTGGTGCCATTCTCAGTACCGTGGAGACCAGTGGCAGTCATTCACTGCTGAGTGAAAAAAGGTGTTACAAAATGACTTTCTGAAGAGGGAAAACGAACACAGCTGCATTTTAACAGCTCCAAGCCCTGGTGATGTTTCACCAGACAGTAACTACATTCCTTGTCATCCTTCTGCTGAGTTAATCAAAAGGAAATGCATCCTCTGGAATTTTCAGCTTCTCGGGATCATTAGCACCCAGTAAATGAAAACAGGAACAATTTAATGCTACCATTACTTTCTTTCCCAACCAACAAGCTGTCTTCCCAGTGCAGTAAAAGTACAGTATCATTATGTGAAACGTGCTGATGCCAACAACCCTACAGAGCCCCTCAGAATTGGAGCTACTGTGGAGGTTGAACCTAGTATCTCACCAAAGGCTTGTTGGGAGGGTAAAATTAAATTGGAGCGATGACTCCAATTTGGGGCTTTTTTGACCACCTTACAGGGTCATAATGCGCCTGTGGCATAAAGGTTTTATGCAGAGTAAAAAGCCATCTCCCTATGGAACTGGGCAGTTTCCCCAGGCCTGCAGGAGAATCCCAATGCAGATCCTTGTGCTACTAATTGCATCTCTCCCCACTCTCCCAAGTTCTTGGTGTCAAAGTCGCTTAGGTTAGACACACAGCTTACAAGAAGTGCTCCTGTATTTTTCTGCACAAAGAATACAAGTGAGATTACACATCCAAAACCAATTTTCTCTTACAGTTGAATTTACTGTTTTGAGGAGTTTCTGAAGCAGCAAAACTTGCTTCCTCAAATATTTACTGTGCATGGCAAGGAGTACAGATAAACGATGTAATGTTAAAAGCATCGCCCACACAATGCTCTTATTACAAGTTCTGCCTCAGCTTTTATATGGAAAATCTGAAAGGTTCAATGCCCCTATCAAAAGCTCCTGCAATGGCTGTTCTTCAGCAGAGCAGGGTTGCTCAGCTGTGAAACAAGAGTTACCACAACCAGCAGCTTACCCAGGGCAGCAAATGAAAAGTTAGGAATAAGCTGATCTGAATGCCAAACCTCACTAGCTCCTTCAAAAAGCACTTGAACAATTCCTCATTCCAGATCTAATGAGATGTAGTGCTGATATTTGATTACTGTACACAGGTTTGCTCCCCCTGAGTGCTGTGATGGTTTCTGTTGGAGCTGTGGGCCAGAGACAATGAGGAGAGAAGAAGCCAAGTACACTGACACACCTTTGCCTCGAGTATAACTCAACCTTCACCAAAAGCACTGATAGGTTTCCCGTTTGGCCCATGTCTTGAAATATTAGGTCAGTTCTTTGTTGACTCGTGTTGGTTTGTTGTAAAAGAATTTTCCTTAGGAATGTCAGGCTCGTCTTCCTCAGTACCTTCCTCTCAGCAGCCTTGGGGAGAGTGGTCTCCCACCCCATACTGCTGTGTGAAGCCATCCCAGAGGGCTACTAAAATATGATCCCTGGCCAGTAGTTTTCTCCTGCCAGAGCCCTGCATACTGTTCCATACATCTTTCATAAAGGCCCAAGCCAGCTCCAAGAGCTCTAACTACAGCAGGTTTTCACAAACAGCTGCAGAAATCCAAGACAATTCCAAGTGAGCATCCTAACGGTTTCGTCCTATTCCTGACAGGAAAATTCTCAATAATCTGAAGCAATTTCATTCGGATGCAACATAGGATATGACTTTTGTATTGAAATTTTTCATGATGAGTAACAAGCATGGGGAGCATGAGGTACAGGGCTGACATACAAAAGCAGGAGCATATCCTATAAAGTGATCGGTTTAATTGTTCGTTTTATTCCTCTTTTATCTATCCCACTCAAGTCCCAGTGCTGTTCTTAGAGCTGTAGGAACTTTGGAATACAAGAGTTCCCACTGCTCAGAATTTATTGCCCAGTCTTCACAGTATTTAACCACCTCTATCTTTTTCAGGGCCTAGGTCCGCCATTCACGCATCACTGAAATATTTAAAGCCTCCATTCACCTAACCTACAAGGTATCACATAACTCCACAGGCCTTTAAATCCTTAGAGTGCCTAAGTGTTCACAGGCTGATGCCTGCAGAGGCTGTCTTGCACCTGACTGGATGCTGAGAGCCCCACACCATGATGCCCAGAGGACCCAATGCAGGACAAACACCTATTTTCCAATACCTGCCAGCTGGCAGTATCTGCCCTGGGTGAGCCAGAAGCCACCAAGAGGTAAAGGAGTAATAGGCTGTCTCTGCAGCAAACTGAAATGCTTACAGGAAGGAAGACAAAAAAGAGCCTCCAGATGTGAACGTGCCACGCATTGGAGCAGGCTGACAAAACCTTGTGATGGTTTGGCTCACTGACCTGACAGAAAACACCATATACTTCCCAAATGCCATCAATTCCATTGTCCAAAAGTGAACAAAGCCAAAGAAGGGAATGAAAAGTGGAAGTCTGCAGAAGCAGGGCTAACTCTACTGCCAATTCATTGCCTGGCCTGCAGAGAAATATAAATCTTAGGGCCAGAAAAATGTTTAGGACCTCTGCAGGCCACAGATTTTGAGTAAGAGAGCTTCAGTTTCTTGCAGGGCACTATCTCCCACTGAAAATGCAAATGATGATTGGAAGCTTTGCAAAGCTTTCAAAGGCCCTGGGGTGACAGATAATCCAGAAATATGAGCAGCTACCATTGTCATTACAGCAGCAGTCTCTGCAGCAGAGCCCTGGCTTGCTAAATTGTTAGGAGTGAGGGAGTATGGATATTGCCAGGAAGAAAGAGGAAGAAAAATAAGTAAAGCAAAAGTACTCTCCAGAGAGAGATAGAAACAGAGGGGGAAAGGAACCTGCAAACAACTCTGTTAATGAGCAGAGTCCCTGCATCTCAATCCTTCAGAGAGTTTGGTTTGTCCTCCCTCTGCTGTTGTGGTAGGCTGGCATCTCCACACCACAAAAAAGATACAAGATGTGTTAGAGTGCAGATCTTCCCTCTTTACCCTACTACATCTTTCCCAGATCAAATTTTCAGAGATTCATACTGTTAGTAATAAACCATTTGAAAACAGAGGCTAGCCTGCAGGCAGGTTTCTTCATCAGAGTGAAAGTACTTTGAGACTAGGCATTTATGTATCAAAAAACCTGTAAGCTCACTAAAGTTCACTTCTCTCCTTGCTTGGAGTAAAAGAATTCCACTTGTCCCCTATATCCTTTGGAGTGAGGCACCAATGTTAAGTTTAGTGAAACACAGTAGTTTAAACCATCGGCAACAGGAGACTTCATCCTGCAGGGATTAGCCCAGGAGCCAAATAACACTGATCTAAATCCCAGCAGAGGCCAATACAGAAACTTGATTTGGGTTAGGACTTCATTGATGCTACCTGGAAAATAACAGTGTGAGCCTGGGAAGGACAAAGGTGGAATTTTTGCTTTTTGGCTCCATTCAGAGCAAGGGACTTTGAGCAGGAGGTGAGTTGGGACTTGCCCGTTTGCCCTCACACAGTGGCAAAGGGAGCCTAGGGAGCCCAGGGGCAGTACCTGAGCTGAAGTAGGAGCTCTTGTTCTGCCTCCCATAGTGTGGCAGAAGCCAGGCTGTTGCTCTTCTTATGAAAAGAAGCTTCCCTGTCAATAAGCAACCCTGTGTGCTCTGCAGCTCCTGCCTGTCCTCCTCTCCCCTCCTTCCATCCACCACCCTAAGCACTGATCTTCTTCCACACCTCTGAGGGCTGTGACTCTTTTAATATTACCTAAACTCCCAGGCACACAGCTGGAGTCACGCAGTAGAAGCTTCCCTCCTATGGCTTTAAAGACTTTTTGAAAAGAGAAAGATAAAAGGAAGAATCATCAAATCAATCTTTCAGGTTTTATTGCTTTCTGGGAGAGATGCTTGCATCAAGAAACCTCCACCAGAGCACAGCAAAAGCAATCCCAATGCCTGGCTCTTGCCAGCCCCTGCCAGAGCACCACCTTGCTGAGAAAGCAACAGCACACAAGACAGGGCTGTCCACCAACCTCCTTCATGCGTGTCCTTCACTTTGGAAATCCAGCTCCACGTTGCTAAGCTTGTAATCCCTCCAGGAGCTATAAAGCAGGTAGCCTCCCACAAGGCAGCAAGGAATTCTTCTGCTCCAGACCCTGTGCTTCCCAAACTGGAAGCAGGGATAGACATTTGTCAAGCCAGACCCCTTTTCCAGCAGGACAGCAGGCTCCCCTTTCCAGGTGTTTGAGCTCTGCAGGTGAACAGTGTCAAGTACCAGGAATAAACAAGGCTGCATAGCAACAACTTCTCTGAAGAAATCTTGAGATGCAAGGAATGTCTTGTGCTGCAGCCACAAGCACCCGAGGGACCTCAACAGAAGCCAGACCTTCAGTCAGGGGCACACACCAAACAGTGACACGCTCCCAGTCCCTCACTGCCTGCTCGTGGTCCCTGTGCAAGGATCATCCTAAAGTTTTCCACAGTGTGCAAGCAAACAGCACACTGTGTGTGCAAAGTGTGCATCTGCTAGAAACTGAGAAAAGGGAGGGGGAGGCTTCCTCCACCCTCTTCACTGCAATAATTGATAACATCTCTGCAAGGTAAATTGTTCCAGTGTGAGCTTGGATCCCCCCTCGGTTAGATCAGTGTAAATTCATACCAGCCCTACAGAAAGCACCACATTCAGGCAAGATTAGGAAAAGAGGAGAACTAATTCCTCCAACATGGCATGGCCACAGTCTCTATGATCTCCACTAAATGCTGCCAAACTGTAAT